ATTTGAACCTGGGCGTCCAAGCTCGGCACTTTGTAAGTCACCCGTTCTCGGCATAAGACAACTAAGACAACTACCCGTTCTTGGGACTTTGGATGTTACAAGCCTTGGATTAGTAAATTTTAGCCAGCGTTACAAAAAGGCCGTCTTCGCTCTATGTGACTTCTGGGATTTGAACCCAGGGCATACATAGATACAATGCGTACACCTCCCACCTTGACCACTGAGCCAAGTCAATGATCCACCTGGCCTGAAAGCTCGGCACTTTGTAACTTACCCAGCGTAAGACAACTAACCTGGGTCTGCAAGCTCAGTAAGAATTGATTAGTAAATTTTAGCCAGAGTTACAAAAACAAAAGAGTTGCGATCGTTGCAAGTGACTTCTGGGATTCTAACCCAGGCATACATACACTCTGTACACCTCCAGCTTAACCACTAAGCCAAGCCAACGGTGGAAGACAATGTTGGTCGGTATCTTTTAACTGCTGACCATGTCATTCTAATAGCAGCAAGTAAAAAATTTGTTTAGGATTTAAACCGGCATACATAGGTCGGTCAGTATCTTTTACCTGCAGTAAGTAAAAAACTTTTCAAAACGCGAATCTATGACTTGTTCGGGATTTGAACCCAGGGCATACATACATATACTACGTACACCTCCCAGCTTAACTACTAGGCCAAGCCAACGTTGAAGACAATGTCGGTCAGTATCTTTTACCTGCCAACCATGTCACTCTAATAGCAGCAGTTAAAAGGACAAATTCTGTGCAGTGACTCCTTTCAATGTCTCTTTCCAGATGGCTGCAGTTACGTTTTTTCACGGGGGAAAATGGCAGAGAGGGAATAGTGGAGGAGGGAAAAGACCTCCTTCCATTTTTTATAACAAGCCTGTTGAAGTGAGGATTAGCGATGTTGCTGTGTGCTTTTCTTCCCATGTTTGTCTACTGTTGAAATGGCCAAAGGATATAATGATGATGTGTAGTGGGAACGAGGAAAATGTGGGTGTAGCGGGAAAGAGGAAAATGTGGCCGTCGAATAGCAAACGCAAACATTCATAACAGATTTGCATTTCCAGCTACGTAAAATAAAAAGTTG